GGAGAGAGAGAGAGGGGTGGGCAGGGTGGATGGATATACGAAATTGGAAGCTCTATTCCTTAGTAAGTCGTGCAGGTCTATCACACTCTACTTCATAAAATAGCCAGGAGCATGAGTTTCATGCAGCGGCCAAGATCATTCTATCTGATATTTATTCAAAGTTTTGAAAAGCACAATAGTAAAGCATTTACTTGTACTAAGATGATGGATATACGAAATTGGAAGCTCTATTCCTTAGTAAGTCGTGCAGGTCTGTCACACACTACTTCATAAAATAGCCAGTAGCATGAGTTTCATGCAGCGGCCAAGATCATTCTATCTGATATTTATTCAAAGTTTTGAAAAGCACAATAGTAAAGCATTTACTTGTACTAATATGCTAGCAATGGATCATCTGGTCGAGTTACCTCAGTTCCAAGCCGCTTGTTTAGCGCTTCATTCCACATATTAGCAGCATATGCAGGCTGAATCTTATTCCACATTGTCATGACGGAAGCAACCTGCATACCATGCAAATGTTGTCACATGATTTCAGTTCCATTGCACAATAACTAGATTCAAAGTTGGAGCTTAAGGATAACCAATTCATAAAATACATTACAAAATCAAATTACCCAAAATGAAGGGATCCTCATAAAATTACATTATGAAGAACAATTCATAAAAAAAAAAAGAAATAAGCAGCAAATTGTTTACTGATACATGTCAAAGCCTGAAATGTTGCCCGATTTATTGAACCCAAAACAAGATGAAATCATAGAAACACTTCCTGGGTACATGCCAGAATGCATAGAAATTATGATGTTCTCGTACAAGATTACATGTATGCTAAGCAACATCTCATGATCAATAACATAACCTTCGAAGATTGCAATATGTAAAATATCTCACTTATGCATGATATTTCCACAGTGCTCCTCAAGCAGAGTTAATGCATGCTAACTTGCTCATAAGTGTCAATGAATGCAGAACAACTTAATGAAAAGTGATGTGTTCCAGATATCCAGACTAAAAGAAGAATGTGCATGGACCATAGTGTACAACTAGCTAATGGGCCGTGCTTTGCATGATACACCAACTGAGAAATTAAATGAAAAAGAACCTGCGAATTATTTAATTTAAATAAGATATAATATACCAAGCTAATATTTAATTGGGAAAATGACGGCCCACCTCCTTAGCATAAATTTTAGCCTGGTTAGACGCTCTGGTCCACAGGCTCCTTTAAGTTTAAAAAATACGTCAAGAAACCCCCAAGAGGCCCCCTCTCCTATATCTGATGCATAAAAAGAAGTTCTTACAACTGTACAACCTAAGGAACTCATATGGTTGAACTCTCTCTTCCCTTTCTCTCTCCACCCTATTCTCTCTCTCTCTCTCTGCCCACCCTCCCCCCCCCTCCCCTTTTCTATTCCTTCCCTCCCTCCTGATTCCAATGCCTCTTTTGCCGGAATATGACACATTCACCATCAATTGTTGATGGAGAATAGGAGCCAATAAATTTCAAAAAATGGTTTCATTTCCTTTTTGGTCAGAAAGCTTTAAGTAGAAGAATAGATGAAGCTTCCAAGTTATAGAGAGGATAAGGATAATGGAGATGCATCTCATGAGAACCGATAAAGTGTCAATAATAAAAGAAAAGAGTAGTGGGAAATCAAATTATGATTTGGCCAAAAAATTGCAAATTTTGGCCAAAAAAAACCCTAATCACCATATTGAAGCCAAAAAACATTCTGGATTTCTCATACCCCTTTTTGGTTCAAGAAGATTTCTCATACCCCGATGTGTTTGTCAGAATAATTTCTTCGTGTGCTTCTTTCCAGCAAATATCTCGCCTGAACTCCTATAACTCCATTCCTTCTCTTGGGGTATAGGAACTCAAGGTTTACTCACTTCTCAAAGAGAAAAAAGCTCAATTGGGACAGGAAAATTTGGCCATGTTTATGGAGTTGAGCTTCCTAATGGTGAACTGGTGATGATTAAGAATCTAAAGAAGAATTTTGGTAAGATGCAGCTTGGAAAAGGCTTAATGGCTGAAAGTGAAAAGTTGCCGAAAATCAGGCATATGAATATAGCTTCATCATTGGGTTTTTGTATTCAGAAGGAATGATGCTTCTTGTTTATGATTATTTTGCCAATGAAAGCTTAGAGAGATGGATTCTTAGTGGTGAACTTGGGTTGGGATACTAGGCTTCAAAATATAGGTGGGATAGCTGAAGTTTGGCGCTGGCAAGAACTGGGAGCTTTTAAAGAGAGGGGAACAGAGAAGAGCGTTGGGGATAGGGTTCACCCAAATTTTCTTGATTCAAATTGCTAATGAGGTGGAACATGATTGGTCTCCCTGGTTTTTCAGCGACACCTTGTCCTTTCAAGCACCAATTTTCCTAAATTTCTCACTGTAAACTGAAAAAGAAGAGAGGAATCTAGATTGAACCAATATGGAATTTCTGTATTAAGTAGGGGAAAAAAAAGTACCTCTAACATACCATAGATGGCAGAGGGGGCGATTCTACATTTGTCAAATTTGGATTCCATGTAAAATTATTCTATCTCCATCTAATTAGAAACACAAACACATGGCCATGAACTACAAAATAAACAATTTAGAACCTATGACAAGCATCAAATCAGAAACTTGATGCTAAGGATATCGGAATCTCGAGTCCATATATGAACGAATTTCGATTCCATAATAAGGTTCAATTCCAAATAAGTTAGAAACTCAATTCCCAAGAGCATGGAATCTTGATCCCGTATATGTAGGGATCTCGATTCCAATTGGGTCGAACCCCAATTCCTATAAACTAGGAATATCGTTTTCTATATTTTCCCTTATACAGACGTTGATTCCAGAAACAGGAATCTTCCAGCCAGCCACGATTCTGCTATTTCGATTTCTAAAACAATTTGGAATCTCAGGCATTTCCATTAACTATGGTTCACGGGTTATATGTGGACTTGAGGGTCTAAATGACCCTAAAGTTAAGGAGGATGGAGACTACGTCATTTTCTCTATTTACTATTACCTATGTATCCATTTAATTTTCTATGCCATTCTCATTTAATTAATCGTATTTAATTTTATTGCATATATTTTGAGTATTTTCATGTATTGTTTCACATACTTGACTAGTTTTTGAGAGAGGCTTCTAGTTGTTCTAACGAGATTTCTTTTTCCAGTAAGAATTCCTCTTTTAACTTGAATGGTGCCATAGAATTCCCATTTTCAAAGAATTCTTCTCTCTGTTTTTGGTAGGAATTCCTCTTTAAGGAAATATAAGAGAATAGTCTTGAAACAAAGTAAGCAAAGAAGAAGATAAAGAACTTCATCCAAAAAACAGAGCCAATCTGATCTTTGCAGCAACGATATTGGCGTGCTGATTCTTGAGACAAGGAATACCTAGCCCATAATCTCATCAATGCTCGCTAGGAAGAGTTTCAGGTGTCAAGCAGTAGCATTGTGGCATGGCAATGACATACAAATATGCATCCATGGCATTTAATGAGGTGCAGCAGGCCAAGAAAAGGGTCCATAAACCTAAATTTCAATGAAAGGTCTTTTGAAAACCCTGACCTGTCAAGGAATGAGACTTATTTTATTTCTATTTTGGTGATTAGGAAAGGCCGAAAGGGTGCTAATTTAGAGAAGCTAAAGGAGTGGTGTACACAGTTTACAGGCTTGGTCTACATTTGCGACATCCATCCCCTCCAATTGAAGTGTCATTTTTCCTCTGTCTATTGCAAGTGTCATTTTTCTGTCCCCCACCACCTCCCCTTCCCCCTCTCTCTCCAAAATATGTCACATGCAAGTTCATATTTTCAATCAAAAAACTTAATCATACAAAGAAAAGACAAAAGAAAGAGAGCGTTATAACCTATAGACTTCAACAGTTTCATCATTATGGAAATTTGAGTTGCTTCTTGTCCAAGACTTCACTGTACATTGTTCTAGGTTGTTTCCTCTATATTAGTAAGTTACTCCTACAGAGTTTGAAAGTTTGTGTACATTCTTATTTGCATGTAATTCTCCATTGCGAATGTCGATCAAATGTAAGAATGAAGTCAGTCATTCAAGAAGTAAAACCAATGAAGCACAAGAACTTGTGAGCAAACACTAGCAAAATTCATAAAATTAATGCCTAAAAAGAAGTGGAGAAAAAGAACTCCGAAGTCTTAAGACTACAAATTAGGGTATTGAAAGTTAACTCTATTGCTAGCATTGACATGTAAGTAAATTGCAAAACCAAAATGCATTAGCGAAGACGAGCCAATTATACACCAAAATCTATAGAGCAAAAGCAATACCAAGTGGGCATCCAAGGGTGGTGGGTAGTTATCTTCTATAGTATCTATCCAACTAAATATCATGTTGTGATAACCATACGGCTTTCCTAACATGCTTCGTGCATATTCCCAGGCTGCAGATTCGTTAAACTTAGCTCGCACATCAGGATGCAAAGGAAGCAATGCAATATGAGGATTGGAGTCATCCTTCGTTTGCTCAAACTCCCACCATTCCTCCCACGGCACAATGGCAATGATATCCTCACCCTAAAATTGATATTCAAGCACTATAGTAAGTGTATTATTCAAATTTCTTACAAAATTTAACAGCAATAGACATATAATTCACAATTAATTAGTTAGGCTGATACTGTAGAAAACAATTCAACCCAAATATCTATAACTAAAAAAGGAAAGGTAACAGGCAAAAGGTTTCCTTTTTGCAGCAATGGTCACATTCAGATAACTCATGGTGTACTTGGGAAAGGGGTAAAAAATGCAGCATTGCACATGTGTAATACAGCATTGCCGGTCAACACTCGGGGTTTGGCAACCCCCAACCAAATCTTTGTGCCACATAACATGCCGCTTTTTAGCGGCAGCATGCAGTATTTCCAAAAAAGAGGTCCCAACCTCTTTTTCCTCTACTGTACAGATGTAACAGCACAATAATTAGGGGCAAAGATTTAACCCATTGAGAAAGAAGCCTTAATTTTTGTTTGAACTAGTTATAAATCTGATTGTAGTAGCATGGCACATGACAAAACCTGTTACATAAACTAATAATTATTCTTGTGTTGACATTTAAGGTCACAATGGTATGTATTGCTATCACTTAATCCATAAGTGACATAGATCACACCTTCTTTTCCACATAAAATCGTTTGAGTGTTCCACAGCAACCAAATTGCAAGAAAAAAAAAATGGCGGCTGGAAATTGCACTATGCATGCATAAGACCCATACATGAAAAGAATAGCTCATTTATCCAATTGAACTGAAACCCACTTGCCCATTGTTCACCAATTGTGGAAGTCTTCATTTTAACTTTTATGACCCTAAAAGTTAAAGACAAGCATTCAAATGATGAACATGTATTATTGGCTCTGAATCATATGACATGCAATGTTAAAGTTCTCAATGTGCATCCATCTAGTTTATTTTAACTCCTATGCCGAGATAAAGGAAAGAATCTCTAACTTTAAGCCAGCTATCGCAATCAAAATGACTACTAGCACACAAATGTGCAAAGCATATCGAAAAAACCTGCTTAAGTTATAGATCTTTTTGTTAACGAACTGTACCTTCAGTTGCGCTAAAACATATGTACTATTGCAAGGCTTCTCCAGGAAAGACATGGAGAAATTGAGATAACATTTTCTACTTATCTACTGGACTTTGCAAGCATGATTAACTTGCATCAATATTTTGCAGTCACAATGATGAACAGACTGAGCCTGTTAGGAGCTCATGCATGCATCAAGTGAGGAGGATAAAATCTGGTGAAATTTATGCTATCTAGACCAAAAATGCTTAGATAAATAGTCCTTGCAGTCTTTTTCATTCCTGTATTTGAGTGGAAAGGCATGCAGCTTACGATTTCACGTCTTTTCAGCAAGATATTGAATATGCCATTGATGTTTATACTTTAAAACATTACAAATGAAATAATTAGGTCATTTCTCTAAAATTGTTAAAAACGACTCATTCCAATCTAGTCAATATACTTTCAACCTCACGAAATGATGCACTATCTTCATCATCAAAGCCTTAACACAATTATTGGGGTCAGCTACACGAATCATACTCCGCCATTATGCTCTATCAAGGGCCACACCCTCAGTAAGGCCATAAATCGCCATATCTTTTCTCTCTACTTTCATCCATGTCCTTTTGGGCCTTCCCCTGCCCTCTTAGAGTCCATTTGAACCAAATCGCACCTCTTAACCGGTGTTGTAGTGGGTTTACACTGCATATGGCCTGCCTACTTACATCTATTTTCCTGAATATTATTGCCTGTTCAAGTCATACTTAAGTTCCCTTAAATGTATTCATGTTAAATTCTATTTTTTCTTGACTTACTACTCATCTATCTCAACATCCTCATCTCAACTCACTCATCTTATAGGTCTGTAATTTCTTTGACCGCCAAACATTCCCTCTCATAAGCAAAGTTGGTCTCACAGTTGTTTTATAATGGAAAGTTGTGACAAAGTTTTCACTGGCTGCCAACCTAACACAACCCTCCTTAGGACCGGCATGACCGGCAAAGGGCCAGCAAGGTGGAGTTTTAATGACCTTCAAGAAGTTTTTAATTAGCCTCAAAGAACATATGTTCTTTTAAAAGAGGTATTCTGGCCATATTTCATTATTAAATTGGATACCTCAAAAATAACTCAAATAACTTTGTGCACCTTTATATGGAGCATTACAAGATACTTTGGCATATCTGTCCATTTTAGGGAAACCACAGCCTAACAAAATATAAGGGGAGCCACTAGTGTTTCAAAAATTGGTAGGTGGGTTCTAGGTGGCCTGGGGGGTCCAAGATGCCCAGCGCCTAGGCGGGCGCCCAAAACTTGGGCAGCCCAGTTGAATCCAAAGTCGGTCCATGTCCAATTAAAACTTAAAATTTACCAACCAACTAAATTACCAAACTAAAATTACCAAATAGTACCAAACCAATGGAACTACAAATCCACTATCCACAATACACAACCAAGAGAAAGAAAACAAAAATGAAAGTAATACTTGAAGACTTAAAAGAATCTTTAATAGTTCAATCAAAGTTCAAATTTAAATAATTATTCAACATTCATCATTCATCATCAGAAAAAGTAGGGTCAGCTGCATTTGCATCATATTCATCGGAGTCGTCATCCTCGTCAACGTATTGGCCATCCTCGTCCGTCTCTTCTGAATTTGCTTCTTCTTCTTCCTCTTCTTCCACCTTCATCCTCTGTGCAGAAGATCTAGTGGCCCTAGGATGGTCAAGCTGATGTTCCTGAAGTATCCATAACCATGTCCCACGTCAATCCTTCATGCCCCTCGGCCTTATCATCATCAACTAACCACTCCATAACATTGTCCATATTTTTTGATCTAATGAGGTCTCTCTTATATCTCTTAGCAAACTTATCCTTCAAGAATCGATTATACTTGACATAGACTAAGTCATTGAGCCTCTTTGATTCAAGCATGTTCTTTTTCTTTGTATGAATCTAACAAAATCAAATTAAACTAATTAAAATCTATGGTTCATGTATTATTAATACAATGATACAAATTATCGTTACGGCCTTATCCCTTCAAAAGTACTCCAACTACACCGATGTTGGCTCCACCAATTGGCTGCAAAGATATAGAATAAAATCATAAATAAATAATAGAATTATAAAATGAAGCTTGATTACTTGAACTTGATAAACTTAATAATAGTATTACTACCTTGATCAATTTTGGTCATTTGCCTCATCGCCATTGGACTGCCAAAAGACTTTAATGAGCGATTGTAATTTATCAGCACATCGATTCTCATCATCATCAAAATTTTAGGCTATCTCTCTTTTGCATTTCTCCATAGCCTCATATATGTAGCCCATAGAAGCCTTGTCATTATGAACCATGCGAATGATTTTGACAACAGGAAAAAATACTTTAAGAGCGTCATTCACCCATCGCCAAAAAGCCTTAGAAAGGATAATATCTCTTACCTTCTTCCCAACCTGATCCTTGGACCACTTGCATGCTCTCCAGTCATCCGAGGTAAACATCTGCCTCAACTGCCCTCTCCTCGAATATATGTTATCTAGGCATAAGTACCAGGTCACAAATTTTGTAACCCCAATTCTTACAATCTCTTTCTTCTTTGTAAATCTACGCATCATGCTAAGGGTGAGATGGTGGTTACAAATGAAATTTGTAAATGACTTTACCTTCTTCACTGCACCTGATATCTCGATTAAACAGCCAAGAGCCTCAAGCATGATGTCTATACAATGTGCTGCACATGGTGTCCAAAAGATTCTAAGATAAGTTATGTGCAACAAATTAGCTGCAGCAATATTAGGAACAACATTGTCTGTGACAACCTATACAACAAGATGCTCCCCAACCTCCTTGATTCCCTTATCTATAACTTGGAATATGTAATGGCCATCATGGATATGATCAGAGGCATCAATAGACCTCAAAAAAATAGTCCCTAAAGGACAATTCACAAGCAAATTCATCTGATTTCTTCTCTTCTTATCACTCCAAGCATCAATCATAATAGAAAACTCATACTGAGCCCATGCATCCTTCTTAACTTCTACAGCTTCCTTCGTGACACTCACCGTTTTTTCAAAAGAGGCTCTGAAAGCTCATATAGGGTTGGCAGTTTCATCCCAGGCTCAAATTAGCCAATTGCCTCTACCGCAGCATAGAAGTAGCTTAGGCGAGTGGTATTGAAAAGAATGTTCGCCTCATAAAACCATGTAGCAACATAAATCTCTCTCTTCATTCTTCATTTTATTTTCAATGGTGGTTTGCTTCTTTGTTTTCTCTACTGCAACCTCAGGATCAGGCCGAGGCAAAAAACTGTCCATAGGGCCTCTAACCCGAGGCTTCTTACTCCCAAAACCAGAACCAGAACTAGAAGCAATTACAACTCCCTTTACCTTTCCCCTAATAATGGATTATTCTACCTCTTGACATCCTTCCCCAATCCCATCCTTAGCACTATCATCATCATAATTGACCTAAACCCCAGACCTAATCTCTGCTATGGAGGCAAATCTCTCATCTTTTTTCATTTTTACCATACTAAAAAAATTGGTTATTTCCTCTTTAACAGATCAGGAGTCTTTTTACATGGGGCAACATCCCCCTTGATACCGACAATATGTTTCTTGAACCGGTTTATGCCCCCTTTTGTATCCTTCTCACAAAACTTGAATCTTATGCAATTGTTATCATTAGGATCTGGGTTGTAGCTATATTTCCAATCGGGATCACCACTCCTATTAGATCCCGAATAAGACATCTCAAAAAAATATAACTTAATACAAGCAATAAAAAAAATCACTTACTTTGATTGCTCAATCTCCAAACTTCCACCTGAAAGATGCTTCTAAGGACTCAAAATCTTCTAAAAAGCCCAAAGTAGATTTATAAAACAACAAAACTTAAATCTAATATCAATGGGTGATGTTTCGATCAATTTCTCATAACTTTGAAAAACCCTTCGATCCAAAAAAATCACTCAAAAACTAGTTTTTTGGGGGCTTTCTCTCTCTAAAATGGGCTCTAATGAGTTTTAGGTTTCAAATGAACCTAAAACCCCCATTTTTGGCCCCTTAGTATAAAAAAAAAGGGACAAAAATTGCCCCCACCGAAAGCTTTTTCCGCCTCTGGGTGGGGCGCTAGACCTGGGCGCCCGCTCAGGAACCTCAGTTTTTTTTGAGCGCCCAGGCCCCCAAATCCGCCTAGGCAGACGCCCAGGTGCTGGACGGTCCGCTTTTTGAAACACTGGGAGCCACAGAATTTCATGTTTAAGTATATAGCAGGGTATGGCTAGGTCAATTATACATCGGAAGGACAACCTTGGCAACAATAAACCCTATGACTAGTACAAGGAAAAAAAAAAACTATGCCTGGTAACATCAAAAATTCCAAATGATGCATTGGTGCATTAATAGATTTCATAATAACTTAAATTCATGTCTTCATGCAAAATCATAAAGCAAAAAATAAATTGCACATCCTGATATATCAAAAATGAGATACATTCTTGTACATGAAATATATCTGCCCCTAAACACATTCTCTTCTTAAATGGAAAGCTAGGAATTAATAAGGAAACCTTTTCATTTTCATGTCCAGATTCCCCAACCCAAAGCTGCCCATCAGAGTCCTTCAAGCAAACTGATGTATGACCAGCGAAGGTCCCAGTTACCCACTTTTCCAAAGTTTCAAAACCTCCCCATCGCCCCCGAATTTTTGATATTGCCAAGAAATCCCCAGAATGAATGTCATTAATACTAATATTATTCGAAACCCATGGCTGAGGACGCTGCTCAAATGTCGCCCCCATATGCTTCTTGAGGAAAGCAATATTCGAACTCTCACCCCATCCAGTATTTGAAAATAGAGGCAGCACATCCCATAAAGCCATTAGGGTTCCCAACATCCCAGATTCCATGAGGAAAATAGATATTCCATTGTGTTTAACCTGGTAACATAGCAAAAATAGGACAATTTAATATCAGAAAACACATTGTAGAGAAGTGAAGTCATATAGCCACTTGACACACACACGCACACCCAAATTATAGAAAAATAAAATCATTAGCCCATTACACACTCATGCACACACACCAAAACACACACACACACACACACTCATACTTTACCCCAGCAACAACAGAGTTAAAATCAAAGAGTACAAAGCCATGACAATACATATTCAAGCTCAGCTTCATCCTCCCATTCTTTGATATCCAAGGTGTGCTCCCGAGCCAGAAAGTAGTAATCCCATGTTACTCGGTATGGAGTAGCAAATACATAGAGATCCATGCATGTCCAACTATGAGCTTTGCTAGTCTGGGAAGCAAACATATGAAATTTTGAAAGATTAATATTATTTGTAATGATGATCATGTAGAGAACCAGCACGTCAATGACAAAAAAATTATAAATATGTAGAGTTCTAGTGAATTCAAGATTCTAAATAAAGATGCCAAAATGCATGAAATCTGTCAACAGAAGCAATTTAAGTTACTATTTCAATAAGAATGCTAAGAGTATAATGCTTTAACAACAAGATAAGCTTCAAGTCATAACAGCGAAAATGAAATCCTGCCACGAATAAAGGAGTTTTCAATACAGATAATGCACTACAGATAAGCAAATCATCTGGATTATAGACTAATAATATACAGTATTCCCCAATATTATAAACGGCCCACAAAGTGGGACAAGGTTCAACATGTACCAGATCACTAGCTGCTCAGAACAAAACCACAAAAAAGCCAATTGAAATTACCCGTTGAATGGTCTCAGTCAAATGATTGGTTTTCTCCATTTGGAGTAAGCAATCTCACATCTCCTTGCCCATACAATACAAATATTTCCTCCGATTTCTTTGGGAGATTTTTCAATATTTTGGCCATCTTGTTCCCAGCAATTCATTTAGTTTTCTCAAATTAAAGTGAAAAATGAAGGACGTGAGGCATCTGAAAACCCTTGCTTTTTGTGTTATATATGCCTTAGTCCTGGAGTTGGAGGGGAAACCATACCGCCAAATTTCTATTTTTCTATCATTTCCAATTAGTGCCGATCCAAGAGAATGTCACTTGTTTTGGTTTGTTCACTGCTTGTCTCTACACAATCAATATGTCATTCATTTGAAAGAACTTAATTTTCAAGAATTTGGCATGTTGAAATTACAATTTTCCGAAGCTTTGGGGTTTCTTAATTTTTATTTTTTTTGTTGGTCGTATGTCATAACAGAATTCTGCTTGGCAGAGGTCACATGCAAGAAGTATAGAAGGAATAATCAAATATTAAAGCAGAATCCAATGTAACTGAACATACTCCAGAAAAACCATTTTGGGGTGGTTGAAACACATAGTAAGAGAAAACGTTACAATGGAAATTGAGGTATAAAGGAGTGTATAAAATGTGTCTTTTGTGTACAATATCAACATAAATTAGGAAACAAGGAGACCAAAACCAAAAGTGGCTAAATGTTGCCAATGAAATCGGAAATGATACCCATCCCTAAACATTGTGGCTCAGTTTGTTATGGCGAGCTCTTTTCCTCTGCAACCCATGCTTGATGCAGTCAGTGAAGGTCACTAGCCTTGCGTATGGACGCTATAACTTCCACAATGACAGGATGTGAATGTCAGAAAGAATATTAAGGTAGTCAATGGTTACACAGAAACATTCATGCAACACTAGGCTGCCACAAGGTTTTCTCTAACAACCAAATGATTGATCGATCACAGTAGTTGCAAATTAATTAATTTTTTTGGTTTCTTGCTCAAAAGTAGCCGTACATCTAAAATGTATAAATGTAGCATGTATGATAAAGATGCCAATAGAACATCAATGCAGCCAAAGAAGAGCCTGCAGGAAAAATTGTTCTCATAACCACTTGGTGCTCTACAACGACAAAAGGAAAAGTCAAAGAATGTAGCTGGGACCTAATTTACATTCTAGCAGCTGTACGTTTGAATTTTATAGATATATTGCGTAGGGTAAGATGCCTATGCAATACCAATGCACCACATTTCCTAATATGTACAAGCACACTATGATGTGTGTACTATCGATTTAATGATGCGAAACCACTCGAATAAAAGATGGAAAAAGCATAGCATTAGGGTGAGGTCTACAAGAAAATCACTTTATCATCACTCTACAAGCACAATTGTATGTTCAAAGCAGTACAATCATGTCGCACGACTCTCAGCGGCCACTGTATCAGATGAGAGAGAAGAATGCATTTCTTCTAAATAGCTTCGAAAAGGATATATTAGATGATGCCTTAATCTCAGTATACATAAAGAACTCTTCATGTATCCATCAATAACACACGGTTCAATAAAAAGTTGTTCAAATTTAGTGAAACGAAGTTGGACCCCATCAAGACAAGGGACCAATCTATGTATTGCATACCTAAGCTCTATCGTACAAGTACCGTGTCCTTCGTGGAATAGAAGTTTGAAAATGAATCTTCATGTAAAACATGAAACACAATTTCAAATTCAGACGAAAGATTTATATGCCCATAAAATTTCAATGGTACTGAGGTTTCATAAAAATCTGCATAAATATTGAAAGAGTATTTGATTAAACCGCATACATTCCGTACAAGGTCACAATCACCTTAGCTGATAGATGTGAAATCGGATGGTTGGGGGTGCGTTATTGACTGTGCTCAAAGTCCATACACTGGCACTGTTAACCATATAATTCACATCTGACAGTTAGGAATGATTCTGACCTCTTTTTTTTACAAGGTTACATAGGAATGGAACTTGAGACATTGTGCTATGAAAGCACAGCCTCTACTGTCTTGATCCAAGCGCCATTCTTGAATGATTCTGACCTTCTTGCAACAAAGCAAACAGTCCTACAGGATAGAATTCCATAAATACATTGTCTGTAATATTATTGGCAAGGTAACATGCCTAATTCACAAGAATTGAAATAAATACATGGTTCAGAAAGACATGGACTATTTCCTTCATCTCTCACAATTTGAAGTTCCTCAAGTATATGCATAACCCAATTAGGCAAGACTGCTAAGTCTACAAGACAAACAATAAACTGTTACTCGCCTATGTATTAAAAAATGATTAAATAGTGAATCTTAGGGGCTCTTGACTGGAACATTGCCTTTCTTTATCTTACACTGTCAGTTTGATAGGAGGAATGGAGATACCATGCAATGTGCATGGGGAATGGTTTAGTTACTCTTTTTTAATGTTTAATAGTGAGGAGGAAAGGGTGTAGCTTGGTTGAAGTGCATTGTGAAAGCTAACATGGTCATTCATCAATCTTTCCTTCAAATGACAGAGACAACATGGTTATTTTGCGCACATGAAGACCACTTAAACATATCCATAGATGTTGTAATTTGTGGTATCATTATTTACAGAAAAAGCATCAATCTTAATAAATCCAAATTACCATCGAAAATAATGGAAGAATCGCATAAATCTAGAAAATTATTTCAAAAAAGGTATACATGCGTGAAATTAATACAAAGGGAGGCCTAAATAATGACTAAAACTAAATTTGACACTCATGTGCTATCTACACATTAAAACCATGAGGTTTCCACAATGCTAGGTAAATCAATACTACAGGGATTTCACTTACTCTAGGTATCTGTGAGAAAGAGAAGTTATGTCAGTTGGACATCCATATCTATGTTTCTAGGCGTCTGTCCACATGCCATGGACACAGCATATATGCCTAACATTTACAAACTTGATACTGTTTCTCGACTGTTCTTTTAATTCAAATGCCATTTTGAAAGCACTAAATGTCACTTAAAATTGCTGTCCCCCCAAATCTCCACTCAAAAAATGATGTATGGACTTGTTGTATCTGAGAGGCCAATTTTGGAATTGGTGTTTATGACATGCACATCTGTGCTGGACACAGACATGTGCATGTGTCTTTATGACAACAGATAAAAGAAATACAAAGATCTTCCAGCAAAAACCATGCAGTCTGATACAGGTGCACTCATACATGCACAAAAGCAGTTAAGAACTTCACACTATAATCAAAACACTTAAAACTTTAGTATTAGAAAAGCAGGGCTCTAAAAGAAGAAGGAACTATGTCACCTGCTCTGACATAGCTATGCGAGGTTGTACTTAAAAAAAAGGGGCGAAATAATGGAAAGGTCAAGCCAGGAGAGGGCAAATCATAGTCAGGCCAAGCCCTTGCACAAACCAAGTTTCATTGGTATTTTACAAGTTTTCCTCCTACAGTTGAGCCGACAGGAGTTGGTTGTCCGTCAATTTGTCATTTGTTTTCAGAGTATCGAAGTACTCGCTTCTACATAATAAAAAAGTCAAGATTAAGGGGAAAAATAAAGGAAAGGTCAAGCCAGGAGAGAGCAAATCATAGTCAGGCCAAGCCCTAGCACAAACCAACTTTCATTGGTAGTCTACAAGTTTTCCTCCTACAGTGGAGTCGACAGGGGTTGGTTATCAGTCAATTTGTCATTTGTTTTCAGAGTATTGAAGAATACTCTTCAACCTAATAGAAAGCTGAATTTAAGATCATCTGTACAACAGCTTATCACATAGTACAGGTATAAGACCTAAACTAGTCTATCAATACGAGAAAAAACATACAACTATATATCGCATTAATCAATTTCTTTTAGTGAATTATAGTCTATATTCTGAAAAAGCAATCATTCATACAGCATACAAGTTCAGATAATCAATACAATGATTACAAGACCACCAAATCAAATAGTCCACGAACCTAATTTCCCTCTGACAACTTAAAAACAAAACAAAAAGAAGAACAGAAAATTTACATAGAAACACAACCCAAAATTTGCTTATCTCTTGGATTCAGGAAACAAAAGATCCCCACAAAACTACAGGAAAACTCCAGTCACGGCACTGGTTGCCAGTTACGATAAATTTTTGTAGTAGAAAATTAGGCAGTTTGAAAGCAGCCCCATGAATCCAATCCAAACAAGATTAAAAAATTCAAGCCAAAAATACTCGACCAAAATTACAGTATCAAGTAATTTATCAAAAATAAAGGTACCCATAAAGTCAAATTGCCCCATTTTGTGAAACCACAAACAGATACAAGCCAAAAACCCATAACTTTAAAAATCCCCTCCAAAATTCAAAATATACAATGAAAGGCATGAGAAAACCACATAATTACAATCATGATGTTCAACTCCATAAATATTCAATAAAACTAGAATGACATTTCTCAAAATTAACAGAACAAAATCCCCAAACTAAATATTCAACAAAACCAAAATGAAATTTCTCAAAATTAACAGAACAAAATCCCCAAGGTAATAAAGAGCTCTAAATCAACAAGATTTCAGCGTTAAAACCTTGATATGGAGAGTTCCACCACCCCACTGGCTCCCATTCTCGTTCTTGAATTCCATCCACGCAGTGTTCTCATAGAAACAAGCGCCTTTCCACTCAACAGTGGCATTCGAGGAAGAAACTGCCCCAACAAAAGAAGGAAGAAGATCAATAGGACTTTTTAATCTGTTGAGAATAGGCCATGAAACCTGCCTTGGAAGCAGAGGCAAAACATCATTTGGTCTGAAGGGAACTTTCCATGCAAACCCAGTTGAGCAAAACAATAAGGACAAAAAAAGAGCCAGAACGGTTCTCGAGCGCCATGAACAAGCGCCCATATTCTACAGAGAGAGAAAGTGCATAGAGAGAGAGGACTCCGAGCAATTTGAGAGACGCTGAAGGTATTCGATTCTGCAAGGACAATGGATTGATTTTTTTAAACCTGTAATAAACTACTTCCCAAAATGCCCCGGTATGTGTCTGCAAAAAGACGAAGAAGCCCTAGTCCATTTAAGTATTTAAAGTTTAAAAAACGGATAGGTGACCCGGATCGGCTTCCAAAAAACCCATCCGGATCGGAGAATCGGTGATCTGGATCGAAAATCGGGTGAATCGGTCAGAATAAAGCTTAAAAAAAATCCAAAAAAATTATTAAAATTCATTATAAATATTATTTTTTAAGAATTCAATAAGAAATGAGGGTACTCCATTAAGAATTTTCATGTTTTTGAATGAATATGCGAATATTGATATATTCTTTCCCTGCATGAATCGCCATTCAGCATTTAATTTACATCACACAAAAGGATAAACATATAATTATCATGGAATAAATATATCAACATACATGGACTACAATAAAGCATAAAATTAGTAACATATGATCTAAAAATAAAATGATAGACGACGTTATTGTTCTTCTTGGTCACGCTGGTGCCATTGATTGAATTCATTTAACAATTCATTGATTCGATCTAAAAACGAATCATCGATATTAGCAGGCGTCTGACTATTCCCAAATCCCTGAGTGTTAATGTTTTGTTGTGTTCCCAATCTAAAATCCCCGAAGATTGTCCATCCTTCATG